CTTGTATATTTTGTTGTTTGGCCAGGACAGTCAGAAAGAAGCTTCACAGCCAATTTGAGAAAGAAGCTTTCACTTCACTGGCTAAGGCCAAGGCAAAAGCTGCTGCCAAAGGCAAGGCCAAAGCCAAGCCAAAATTTAAGGCCAAGGCCAAGCCTGTTGCCAAGTCTCAGCAGAAGCTGACCAAGCCCCATCCATGCAGTAAGCCCAAGTATGGGTACTATGGCAAGCCACCAACTAAGGGGCCATTTGGCTGTCTGAGATGCAGAGGGAACATCAAAGGTTGTTCCCAATGCCTCCAGCCATCCTATAATGGTTTGAGATTTTCAAGCAGGCAGCAATGGTGCCAATGGGAACAGGCCAGGAAGGCACAGGGGTGATGCCACATTACTATGGCATGCACTCACCAAGCCTTTTGTGCAAAGGGTTGCAAAGACATTAGCCAAGGGGTTCACAAAGGTGCTTGGCTGTGTAGCAATGACACTGCTCCATGGCACCAAAAGGCAGCTTATGTGCGCACAAAGTTTTTTTGCTCATACACAGTTTTAAGTAGACCATGTACACAGCCAAATGTTTGTGCGCACTGGCCTTTCTGGCCTTACATCATGGTCATTTCTGGCATTACATCATAGTATGTCCAAAATGGCATTCCATCAATGCTTTTGGCTTTGTGCATTGTAGCAACCTTTTGTGTTTGGCTCTTGCCAAGTTCCACAATGTGCATCCTTCAGCACAAATTCCAATATATGCAATGTGCAAGCATGCGCAAGGTATATGTATATTTACATGGTCAACCAGTCTTCTTGCAAGAGGGACAGCACCCTTAACTGATAGAAGGACAACACCCTTACTTTCACACCCTTTTGTTTGCTCTTCTGTAACCATGGCTGCTTCCTCTTCCAGGCCTCAGAAGCTGGCCAAACTCCAACAGTCCAAGGCCAATTTGCCACACCATAGCCAAACCAGCTTGCATGCTATGATTGCAGAAGCAAAGAAGACCGGCTTACCTGATTACAGCTCTCCAAAAGAGCAAAGAGATGCCAGAAGGTTCCTTTTGAACCAGTGTGATGGAGGTGCCATGGGTCCTGTGATCCAAGAGATCAGTGTCCAGAACAGTGAAGTTGAGCCAATCACTCTGCCTCCCACCAACTTCTTGACATACTTGCAAGCCTTGTTCTTCAGAGGTGGTAGCTTCCACCAGCTCTTGGCCAGCAAGCGCAATCAACACCCATCTTCGACCAGCAAACCATGGTCTTTAGTTGTATACTTGGACGAGTTGGTCCCTGGAAATGTGTTGGGCAGGGCAGAGAGGAAGAGCTGGGCATGGTATGCCAGTTTCCTACAATTTGGCCAGCACCTCCATTCCACAGACAGTTGGCTCACCATAGCTTTGGTCAGATCAAGCAATGTATCAGCTGTGGAAGCTGGTGTTGGCCAAATCACCACTGCTCTCCTTAGAAGCATTTTTTGCCATGAGCTGATTCATCCACCCACTGGCTTTTTCTTGAAAGGCCCAGAAGGCCAAGATATCAGGCTCCACTTCACCTTCTCCATGCTGCTAGCTGATGGTGCAGCCCAGAAGCAAGTCTGGAGCAGCAAAGGCGACAGTGGCCAGAAGTTCTGCTTCTTGTGTGCCAATGTTCGAGCCAGTGGCACCACAGATGACCAAATGCACTGCAACATCACCTAGTACAGCCGATTGGTGCTGACCAGTGATGCAGAGGTTCTCCAGTCATATGCCAAATTGGATGCCAAAAAGACCCAGTGTACCAAAGCAGAGTTTGACATGTGGCAGCAGGCCACAGGTTGGAACCACAGCTCCAAGGCTCTACTTCTCGACCAAGACTTGAAATCCATGGGCCAATTGAGGCCATGCAGCCAATTTGCACATGATTACATGCATGGCATACTGCAGGTCTGGCTTGGAGGCTTACTTCCAATTTTGGGTTTTCCCAAGAGCTTGGAAGTGCCAGCATGTTGGAACATATTTCTCCAAGAAGAAGATGACAAGCCACAAAAACAATCAAAAGATTTCAGTCCAAGCTTCAGAGTGTTTAGCCATATACCCAATTGTGCGCCAGTTTGTGTACAATGTGGCATTGCCCAATGGCCTCCAAGCTCCAGCTTGCCAGGCTTTGCTGGCAATGGCATCTCTCATTGACCAGGTCCATGATGGAAACCTTGCTTGCATCATCAGCAAAGGCACTTTATTGCCAGCCATAGAGCTGGCCATACAGTGCTTCCAGGCTGCCTTCCCAGAAGTGTCATTGATAAAGAAATGGCATTGGCTGCTCCATATGCCAGATACACACCAAAGATTTGGCTTCCTCCCATCATGCTTTGCCAATGAAAGAAAGCACAAGCCAATCGGCCAACTGGCCACTAGTTTGCTAAACAAGAAGAATATTGAAACCAATCTCTTCGAGCAAGCTCTTGCCAAGGAGATCTGCCACTTGGACCAGCCACAGTTGTTCAAAGATGGTGTGCATTTGGTCGACCCCATCTCAGCTTCCAAGAAAAGTTTACAAACTTATCCAATTTGATTGGTGAGCCAATTGGAGAGGCCAAGAGCAGCCAGTGTGCCAAAGTGAACCATATGAGCTGCTTCAAGGATGACATTGTCATATACCAGGCAGGTGAGTCCATGGGGATTGCAGAAATCCAATTGCATTTCCTATTGCGTGATGTTGCCACTACCTTGGTGAAGTCTTGGCTGGTCAAAGAATGGCTACCACATAAGCAATGTGCAATTTGCCAAGTGCTGGACCACAACTTGGGATTTGTATCTACAGCAGACATCATTGTGCCTGTGATTTGCCACAAAAGCACAGGCGCAGCCAAGTGCTTCTGCCTTACCCAATCTATTCCCAAATGCTGAAGAAAAGGATCCAATCCATGCGCTTGCTGGTTTTGTCTTTCTAAGAAGCACCAAAATTGGCTCTATGGCATTTCATCAAGCCAGTGAATGCATGAAAAGTGGCAATGCAATAGTCGCCTGGCTTGGCATTTTATCAAACCCAGCAAAGTGTTCATGTAGGGCGTGTTGGTATAGTTTATTGGAACAGTTTGATATGAACAATTACAAGGCTTGCCATGTGGCATTTCCATCAAAAGAAACATTTTTCAAAACCATGTGATTTTATTCGATGTAAATGAGAGCCACCAGCTAAAATCAATCAGCTGGTTACTATATATTTTTTCAAAGCTTATTTTCTTTACCATATGACCTTTAAAAAGTAACTTGTTAACTCTGCCTAACTAGTTATAACTTTTAGTAATTTCATGATAATTTGGTTAACTGTACTTAACATGTTGTTAAAAAACAGATTATTTAAGTAGTTGACCAGAATGATGCGCACACACATGCGCTTGGCGCGCGCTTCGTCTGGCTTCAAACTGACCGTGCGGTTGGATGAATTTGGGGTCAATGACGCGCGCGTCAACGTCAGTGGACCAGAGTGCAGCGCGTATAAATCTGTTTTACCTGCGCCTCGTCCTGCTTAAACTTCACTCCTTGCTTTGATCATTTTCGACCGGAGTAGAGCCCACATCAATCTAAGTTGACCCGAATGAAGCGCACACAAATGTGTTTGGTGTGCGCTTCGTCCCGCCTATATATTTTACTCGGAACCGACGTTACCCGAACATCTTCATAGCGTCCCTCTGACATATAAGCCAAGCATCTGAAGGTCCCAGGTGCGTTGCCAATCCAACGACTTTCTTCCGATACTCGCACGACTTTCATCTGCGCCACCGCTGTGCTTCTCCATAACGTGATCCAAGAAGGCTCTTTCTCCAGTAGCGCCGAAGTCGCACAAACGACACTGAAACCGCTGTAACGGTTTCTCCACGTTATCCTCCTCCTCAGAATACAACACTAAACGCGATAACGCTCCACCGACTCCGGTAAAGGTGGGTGTGCAGGCCAACATCTGCGCCGCTCTGCGCAACTTGGTCTCAAACTTCAGATTTACATTGGTCAACAGCGCAAAGACTTCTTTGGCCGTCTGGGTGTGTGGCATCTCTGCGACCATGGCTGTGTCGCCATCCATGTCCACGTCGACAGTAGGCGCATCACCAGCAAACAGTACTGCGTCCAGTGGCACGAAACAGCTCTTCACCACATCACCTTCACGCCACCCAGGGATGGACTGCATCATTTGCCTCTCTACGTCCGATCTCCACTTCACCCATCACCGTCATCCGAGGCCTCCAAACAATCCAACTTCAATTCCTGAATGCTCTCCACATCGGCAGGATACTACGCAGCTCGCATCAAGCGACAACGCGAGCTCTTCTCCTTGTTGCAGTAGTTCGCGATGCACCTATACAGGACGCTGTCTTCGTCGGCAGTCGGTAGTCGAGCGCAGTGCTGTTCTTCCTGCCATTGCCGTATATCCAGCTCCAACTGTACCACCACCGGCGAAATACCACTCCTGTCCGAGCAAGGCCATAGACTCAACACCGAACCCTACACAGAAACGAACAAACACTCGCGACAGGACAACCGCACACGGTTGCTTTCATCTAACAAAATGATATATAAACGCGCTACTCTGCGCGCTTCCTCCTCGTCACGGTACTCTTGTTTGCTTCACTCGGACAGCCCCGATCGTCAAGCAAACGAGCACCAGAACCGAGAGATTGTATTTACATGTATTTATTATCCACGGTCACGGCCTTCTTCGTCTGTCCCACAAACACTATTGTTTCAGCAGCATGCAGCGCACAGGCCCTACATTTATGTACTCCCCATCCGGATTATTAAACAAGAATTCCACAGACCTTTCAAGATTGGTTTCGTCGATGCCTGGGAGATACATTACGGGTCCTGGGTGCACGCAGTTCTCGGAGAAGTGCTGGACTGTGATGGGCAGAGCTTGTAACGAAGGTGTGTTGCGCGGATGAAGTAATTGGGTGACCAGCATCCACGCAACTTGCACGTACTTCTTGTTCTGATTGTGAGATGAAGGAAAACACTCTGACCAAGAACACACCTCCACTCCTCCTGCAGATCTCTCCCAACCATATCTCCGCATCAAGCAGCGCAAATACGCCACGTCTGCGACATCCAGCTTGCCTCGTCGCTGACGCAACTCTCCGTCTTCATCCACCCAAGGCCTTCGCGCCCCATAGTATGTCCAGCGCCGCCTGCAACAAGCATCTAAAACAAACAGTTGACAACACAGACTTTTACCCAGCACCTGCAGACAACGATCCTGATACCCCTCTCCCAACATCGATAACATGCGATAAGCCAGAACATCCAAATCACATCGACACCCTCCTGCCTCCAGAACATTTTCACGATCTTCGTAACCATCCATCAGGTCCCATTTGCACCCAGATTTGGTTGTGTGCACATCCCACAAACGGGCAGCCACTTCCAACGTGTTTGTTTGGATGCTGAACCCTATCAAGCGACACCAGCCACGTCGCCTTTCATCTGATATACTCAGTAGCACACAGGCCAGTAACGCTGCCACCTGATGACGCAACGAATGTTCCACTCTCAAGGCAGACAGAAAACCTGGTAATTGCAATAAATCGATCGCATCCAGAGCGGCTTTGCTGGGCAACGCTTCTGCGAACTCTTCAAACGTAGCAAGCAGTGGTAATGTCGCATCCGCCACGCGACTGTCCAGGGTAGCACGCGTGAGATGTAATGCCCCCACCTCACCCACGGTCTTGTCACTCAGGGTCGCGAAGAGACGCACGCGGTCCTTTGGGTCTGTGACCGCCTCTTGTAACAACACAACGTCCGGCACAGCTTCTCCCTCCAAACATCTTCCCAGCCACCGCCACAAAAGGCTCGCGCTACACCTTGCATCGCCATCTTCACCAGAATCCTGCTCGAAACAAAAAGGACTGCCATAAAATTTTTGCTTAGTAACTGGGGTTCCAGTTTCTAACCAGGGTT